TATATTTAGATATTATAATTTTTATACCTGTTCATCCTCCATCTGATCAAGCTCATTTCTGTAAAAGTTTTCATGCCCCTTTGGAGAGGTTTGCCAAGATCTGGACACATTCCATCTATTTTATATACAACGGGTTAGTATATATTGAAATAAAGCACTAAAATTACATGCATCTTAATAATACCTGCAGCCTAACGGAATATGCCCATCGAGAGCGCGGGCCTCCCTCAAATCAGGTGTTCCCATATGCAATCGCTCCCATGACCATATCTGCAGCAAAGTGAGGCAGCCCTTCAATTCTTTATTTTGTACGAGTGCTATTTTCGTCATCTCTCTATACAAGTAGGCTAACACTGCACTCCCCCAAGATAACTCTCCACACTCTTCTAGGTCCCCAAGAAGCGGTAACCATCTCACGTGCACGGAATCCTTAGTGGAATCCGGAAACAGAATAGTACCGATCATATGTAAAATATATGCACGGGCATAGCGCTTAATGATCTCATCAGTCGCATCGATCGGTACATTCTGAAAGTTATTCCTTAACCATTCGAGTTTGATCTTTCCCCCCTTCATTGTAGGAGTGTGACCCAACAATTCTTCACACGTAGTGCCATAGTGGAAGTCATCGGTGCCCGTCACTGCATCACCATCTACTCTGAGGCCAAGTATAACCCCAACATCCTGTAAGGTAATCGTCGCCTCTCCTTGGCGCAGATGGAAAGTATTTGTCTCGGGCCTCCATCGTTCAACCAATGCCGTCAAAAGTGCCCAATCAAGTCTTACCCATTTAATTTGTGAACACTCAAAAAAGCCGGCTTGACGCACATAATATTGTATCTGTGGATCCGTCAACTCCCAGCTAGAATGTGCACGGGTATGATCGACAATAGTAATACTCGGGGCCTGCATGTAGTAAACAGTGCAAATGTTCAGTAACAATCAACTACATTGAAATTTATATATAATTGAAAATAATAAAATTGCACTTTACCTCCCCAGCGTCTATCTTCGCGGATCGGTGGCGCTCTTGGTCATAAAGAACATCACGTGTCAATGGACCCGCCTCCATAACTGAAATATCTGCACATATAACGATGATACATTAATTGATCTATAATTGAGTTAGAAAAAAATTGATTTTACTATAAGCATTGATTTATAAGCATTGTTTGACTATAAGCATTGATTTTACTATAAGCATTGATTTACAAATGTATAAAATTGTACCCATTAATTGCTATCTATTTGGATTGGTCGGGCAATGAGATCTTCTATGCCCGGCTTGTCTGCAATATCCACATCTATTTTTTTTCGGAGCTCCTTCCCGGCCTTCATCCATAGTACCTTTTAAGCGTACTGATCGTGGGCGTCCGGCTTGTCTCTTATAGCTTGGAGGCACCACATGCGGCCCGTTATAGTGTGGCCAATAACGACTATCATGTACGGGGTGGAAACACTGCTTATATGCCTCTCTATAGTTGCTTGATTGATACCACTCAGAAGCGTATGTGTAATACGAAATATTTGCACCCCCCGATTGCTTGGACGTAACCGCTATGACATGTGGACAAGGCAATTTTTGCAATTCTGGTATGTTACAGGTGCATGTGCAATGTGCACCTCCCAAATTGACGGTGTAATTGTGACCATGTTTGTCTGTAACCTCCCATTCATCTACAGCAAATCTAACAATCTTCGTGCCTCTCGCCTGCTTAACTCGAGCCTCTAAAATCGCCTCATTTTTTGGTGTCAAGAACGAGGCCCACATTGCTCCATCCTCTCGCCGCTTGACAAAATAGTAATTGAGCCTATAAAATGTCCTCGCAACCAACGCCTGTATGGGCATTGCCCGAGCCCCCTTAAGTACCCCGTTGAAGCTTTCAGAACAATTGGTTGTCATCATGCAGAACCGATTCCCTCCATCTTTACTGAGTGCCCACCGGTCGACGTAATCACTGCCCAGACTTCTCTCAATCCAATCATGTGCAGCTTGAGATGTTGCCTTGATTTGATCGCGTATCCGATCATACACATATGTTTCCGGCGTACAACCCGCTTGCCACAGAAGGTTTTGTAAATGAATCTGACTAAAGCTCTTTTTGAAGTTAGCTCTAATGTGTCGTAAGCAATAGCGATGATGGTGATGAGAGCCAAATCTCCTCCACAATGCTTTTGGAATACCTTTCATCCTATCAGATATGAAAGTAATTTTTCTAGGAGGCAACACATTAAAAATATATAATTGAATGCAAGAAAAAAACCACTCCCAATTTTCACTGTTCTCGACCTCCACAACGGCGAAGGCCAAAGGAAATAAGCCACCATCTGCATCAACTCCTGTAGCAACAAGCAGTACACCCTTGTATTTACCGTATAAGTGTGTGCCATCAATGCTAAGAATAGGCCGACAAAATTTAAACCCCTCAATAGAAGGCCCAAATACCCAAAAAACGGAGGTGAATTGATGAACTCCCGGATCGATCTCTTTGGTTATGAGTTTGTATTCAGATCCAGGATTACTTCTTTTGATCGCATCAAGATATTGAGCTAGTGTCGCGTAAGACTTGTCCCAATCACCAAATATTTTTGTCATCGCAATTCTTCTTGCATTCCATGCTTTAATATACGAGATTTTAATGAACTTGGTATCAAGCACTTTCTCAATTATATTATCGGGCGTTAGATCAAGCTTCTTCCTTAATTTTGGCATAATCAACCGCGCTATGTAAGAGGCAGATGCACCACTGTGATCTTGCTCTAATATTGGATTGACACATGTGTGAACACCGCAGTATTCACTGATCCTAAATTGAAAATTGTGTTTCTTTCCTGCAAATGCATATAACTTCCAAGGACATGAGTAATCAGCTTCATTTCCCTCGGTCAGACCTGTTCTTTGTGTGTTCATAAAACATATTGCATCATAACTTGTGCGATTGCTTTTAACTTGCTTGAACTTGAAATTCTTTTCGAAAGAGTATTCACGAATAGCATCAACCAATTGGTCTTTAGTCTCGAATAAATCACCAACTTTAAAGGGGGCGTCATCATCTCCTCTACGAGTTGAACTTTCACCGATGCACATATCTTTTACTGTGGAAGAACGAATCCACTCATCATCTTCAAACTCGTCGGGGGGTGGTTCTTCATACTCAACGTAGTCATTATTAACGTAAGCCTCATCAGGCCATTCCGGATTATCTTCGACATCTTGGGTAACAAATTGCATACTATCAACTGGTGCACTATATTGTTCTTCACCTCCCGAGTCATTGCTTCTTTCATCCTCTTCGATTGATGCCCTACTTAACGGCCCCATATTTCCATAAGAGACTTCGTTATTCATGACATTTGACGTTCCACCGAATTGAGCCCGCTCCATTTCATTCGAAGAAGAAAGAAACCCATCGGAATTAACTCTCATATCTAACATGCGTGAGAATTCTCCTGGAGGTTTGAATATTTGGCACGGATTATGTGGTAACTTTTCAATAAACAATTCTACCGTTTGTTGCGACTTGCCCAATTTAAACATAATACTCATATGATAATCGTTCGAGATCTCCACTGCGGATGTTCTATCAATAGCTATGGGCCAATTGCATATAATTTTCAGTCGGTATTCTCGTGGGTCAATTTCCGTAACTCGGTGTAATTCCATAACCAAGTCGTAGTAACTATATGATTCCGAGATCATTAATGGCGTCGTTACCCCTCCGACGTACATTGGCATATTATTCATCCCATAATTAATTTGCCCACCATAAGAACAAACAATAAACATCATATTGTTCAACCTATTCAAAAGAAAATTATATCATTTAAATATAAAAAATTAAATTAATATGCAAATAATCTCACATAATTTCAACCAAAAACCCTAATTCCCAAATTGTAAATCCTAAACCCTAAAATTGAACAATTGAACATTATATGCCCTAAAAGTTAATTACATCGATAATAATCATCATACAAACGAATTTCACAGATAAATCTAGCCCACGAAATTCATTTATGAATGAAAACCCTAGCAAATTATTTTTAAGAAAAAAATCCTACATTTCTACAAGTTAAAAGAGGAGAGGAGTAGAAGAAATTACCAATATACGTTTAAGATAACTTTTGATTTGAAGTTCCGCCGAAGAAACGAGCTCAAAATTGAGATCTGAAGCTGGTTTTGGGAGAACAGACGGAAGAGAGAGAAGAGAGAGGCGGAGAAATGAGATGGGATCGGGGAAAGGGGGTTGCGGTGGCTTTTATACGGTGGTGGGGACCCAGAATAAGTAGTCGGGTTTCCCAAACCCGACTACTTTCGGGGTTGGCCCCCGACCCGAAATAGGTCTCTTACGAAATGGTCGGGGTTCCCAACCCCGACCATTTCGTCCCTGGCTAACCCAGTGCTGGCTGGGCTCTGCTAAATGGTCGGGGTTGGGAACCCCGACCATTTCGAAATAGGTCTCTTACGAAATGGTCGGGGTTCCCAACCCCGACCATTTCGTCCCTGGCTAACCCAGTGCTGGCTGGGCTCTGCTAAATGGTCGTTTTATTTACTGAAATCGACCGGTTTTCTCGCCACGTCAGCGTCGTGGCGAGAAAGCTGGTCGATTAATTTTTAATCGTCTTCGTAAACAGTCGGGGTTGGCAACCCCGACTGTTTAGTTCAGCGCCCGCTAACAGCTTCACTAAATGGTCGGGGTTCCCAACCCCGACCATTTAGTTAACCTCTTAACAGGCGATGGACTAAACAGTCGGGGTTGCCAAACCCGACTGTTTACGAAGACGATTAAAAATTAATCGACCAGCTTTCTCGCCACGACGCTGACGTGGCGAGAAAACCGGTCGATTTCAGTAAATAAAAGGATACACAGTCGATTTTGATAATAAAAAATTAAAATCAGGCTACAGTGAAAATTTGTTCATAAGAAAATAGCGCTTAGGGGTCCAATAAAAAGTGACCAAACTTGAGGGGTTCGCAATAATTACTCTATTATATATAATTGTTTTAACATGTGAAAGGGCAATCTCGAAATTACCAGCTGACTCCAGCCTCTTTCTCAAAACCGCTACCGCATAACAAAACAACAAAGCGTCTTCTCCCTCCTCGCTCCCGTCTCTCTGTTACCTATTAACTTCCACCTCCTCGTTTCCCCACCGACCAAGAAAAAAGGGGGAGGAAAAAAAAAAGGCAAAAGTGGAACAAAAGTTTCTCATTGTCTCAGAACCCTAACCCTAAAAAGCCAAACTCTCATGCGGAGGAGGTGATGGGGTCCCTACTCTCATGCCTCTCCGACGCCGAGGAGTCCCGTCGCCGGCGGAGACCTCACGCTCATCCCCTCGCCGCCGCAGCTCGAGCTCCAACCCCAATTCGGGTCTCGGATCGAGCAGCAGATGGAGATCAAACAGCAAGGAGGAGTCTTTGATCACGACCAGGCCCTGGCTGCGGCCGCCGCGATCTTGATCCCCAGCAGAACGGCGGGGGCGGAGTAGGCGTCGTTCCGCCGTTCGATCGTCGTCGTCGCTGAGGTATCCGACGGGAAGTGGCGGGAAGAAGCAGGGGCTGCCGAGGAGCTCCAGCTCTCGGGCGAGTGCACTGACGGATCCCATCGTGGAGCCACATCAGCTCGTTAATCAGGTCAAAGATGTTTATTTGATTTTGTTCCTTGTTCGATTTTCCTCGTCCTTTTCTTTTTCATAGATGTGGGGCCTGGATTTTACTCGGCTAAGATGATGATTATTAGATAACCCCCTTACCTTTCAAAATATCAGGAAAACCCCCTTACGGGCTTACGGGTTATCAGAAAAGACCCCTTTAAGTTTAAGATTTTATCAGGAAACCTTCTAAACAGCGTTAATTAAATTGAGGCTGTTTAATAAAGTATTTGATTTGATATTTTGAAAATTATGTGGGGTTATGTGATGATAGTCCAAAATTGAGGGTTTGATATTTAGCCCGTTATACGTTCGGTTGTAACTAATCCTGAAGTAGGTGATTTTAGTAATTTTTAAAAGGTGTAGATTCTCTTTTTTTTTTTTTGATGTTTAATAAAGTATTTGATTTGTGGCGTGAGATTAGGATCTGAGTGTCTTGTTTCTGGCGTTCATCATCACTTGGATACTAAAAAAGAAGTGGTTTTGGATTCACATGATATGTATGCTTATCTTAGTTACTTGACTTATTCTTTAATTGGCATTGGTATCTTGCCTTCTGAGGGCAGGATTTAGTTCCACATGGTGTTTCTTAGATATCAACTTACTGCTCTAATTAGTTAACAGCTGGCCTTTGTGGGCCTTTACTAATTTTGCGCTTCAATTTCTTATGCAATTTTTTGTACTTTCATGATAACCAAGATAATAAATTGAACGTGTAACATTTAGCATAAGTTTATAGAGAATAGGAGATATATTAGAAAATGTCTTTAAACGACTGAAGGTCTGACCTTTTGTTTTCTTTTTCCCATTATTCTGAGAATTACATCTTGCAGTTTTAAAACTTCTGTGTTTTTACTTAGTTATGGAGAGATGAATGACTGAAGTGAAAAAGGTGAATTCAACATGTTATATCTAGATGATATTTGACAGAAAGAATACCATATTTTTATGTCAAAGGTAATGTCCACTTGTTGAAGATCTGGTGGAGCTACCCGAAGACGTAAATGAATAGCCATTGCTGTTAAGAACAACCGAGATCCAATGAGAATTTTTACTTGCTGAAGAATATAAATTTTTAGTTGCTGATCTTCTATTTTTAAGGATTAACAAATAGTAATTACTACTTAAGTGGGTTGTCCTGTAGACATGGAGGTGGTGTACATGGGCCTTTCACCTTTGCATGTCAAGCATTAACCAATAATAATTGTTTCTGTCCTAAGCTTGCTACTGGTTCACATGATGTGGGATTGTGATATTATTGATTTTGCATGTTTTTAAGAGTGCTTGTGTTTTTCACCGTGATTGTTACATTATCTTTGATGCGCAGTGCAGAATTTCTTACAAATATGCGATCTTGCGAATGTGTTTTTCACCGTGCTTGTGTTTTTCACCGTGATTGTTACTTTTCTTTTTTAAACTTCTTCCTTCGTTCTCTGTTTGAATTGATGTAAATTAGCAGAAGGTTATATCTTAAGTTATAATTGATCCATTTTAATGGGGCTAGGAAATTTAGTCTTGTTTGAGTCTGAGATAGAGAAGGTATTTTGATAGCAGGCGATGTTGAAGTATGATTCAGCCATCTAAAGTTTATGACTAAATATCTCATCCTATCTTGGTTTAGGTATATTATTTTGTTTTGAGTTTTCTATTTATTTGACCTTGAAGGGTGTACATACGTGATGGAGGCCTAATGTAATTATATTATGCACATCTTTATTTTATAGTCAGATTCTTCTATTGATTAGGTGGGTTACGTTCTCCATTTTGTTTAGGTGGAATAATGAGAATCGGATCATACTGGGGCCAAGCAAAAACTGGTCACGCAAAATTTGGACTCCTAAACAAAAATATATACAACACTGTCTATTCTTGTCCATTTATGTGATATGCTTGGTGCAATCAAACTCTCACAATCATTAGACCCTTTTTAATTTTATAAACAATTGCCGATGCATTGTTTCTTGAAGTCCACATCGTAGTCTAGTGAATTGCCTTTTAATATAATGGAATAGAATTACAGCACCTGATGGAGTCAATGAGCTTCCATTTTATTCTTGTCCATTAAACCTAAGCTCTTTGGACATAATTGTATATGTTGTAATAGTCATGATTATCCGGGCACTGCAATCTTTGCTGTTAATGTTCCTAAATTTTTACATGTTTGTTTTTTGATATTGACAGGAAGAAAAGGTTGATAATTTGGAAACCAACCATTTTGTTCTCATTCATGGAGGTGGTTTTGGTGCTTGGTGCTGGTATAAAACTATAGCTCTTCTAGAAGATAATGGATTTAAGGTCAATGCCATTGACCTGACTGGGTCCGGAATTCACTCCTTTGATACAAACAACATTACAAGTCTAGCACAATATGTGAAGCCACTCACTATTTTCCTTGAGAAGCTTGGGGACGGAGAGAAGGTAGGTTATGTTTTATCCATATTAAGTCGATTGTTGTTATTATATCCTATCAGCTGAATGAGTTCAGACCATTTTGTCTTAACAAAGATTGCTTTTCTATTGTTGTCATAGCAAATCACTAGGATGAATTCATTTATCGCCTTATTTTATCCTATGTAGAACGAGTGCTACAGCTCTGTCTTTATGTAGCAGGTAACTTTTATCTATTTATATAGTGAACCATGCAGGTTAATTTATGAAGACAGTGACAGGAGGTCTAGCTATAAAGAAAAAATGTTCATGGAAAATAACACAAATGTTTCTAGGATGAGGCAGATTACAGATTGTTAAATAATTCAGCTCTTGTTCACATATAGCAGTTGATTTCCGATGCTGCAAGCTATAACTATGAAGTCAGTATCATAATTGCCTAGTAGCCTTGTTGCCCTTTCGGACTTCTCCTTTTCTTCTTGATATTCCTCGTATTGCATTTTTTCTCTTATGAAAACAAATGCTCATGGTTTAGTATTGCCCTTACCATTGGTCCTGAGCCTAGGGTCACAATGATGTTGAGACTTGAGAGTTGTTCTCTACAGATCTTGGAAGGTTTAATTCAATGTCTCTAGCCTGCTACGGAGCATAAAAACTAATCAGAAACTTAAACCTGAAAAAACAAAGACGGATGCATGCACTAAAAGAAAGGATATTATAATTGTTGCTGCAACAGAAAAGATGACTGTTAAAAAAGCTGAATGTAGAAAAAGAACTCATTTGTCCAACCTTAAGATTGGGATGAAAACTTTATTGTTGTGTAACAAGTCACAAAATGACCTGTATATCTTGTTATTGTTTTGTTTTAGAAGATTGGCATAAACTACAAATATGCATCCTTAAATTAAACGGCATGCAATTTTGTATATGCCTGATCTAAGCTCCATGGATTCACTGTGATAACTGCCAGTTCCCATTCAGCTTTAATGGGCACCAGGTGATACATTTTAGCATTAAAAAATAAAATAAAACACATGGGTTATATTTACATAATCCTGTTGACTAAAACTTGTTACTTCATTGTCACATAAGTAATGGAGTAATATTCTTAAAAAGCTTAGACTTATGAATTGTATGCTAATAATGTATATAAAGCAACTTTTAACACTTAATGATCTTCCTCGTGTGGGTCTTTGACCCAAATGAAAACCTCTGATGTAAACATCACTTGCTTGAAAAGGTAGGGGCATGGAGATACACAAACACTTTTGAAATTCCGGATAGTGAGGTTATAACTGAAGACTGACTTTTCTGATACTTTGTCAACAACCATGAGACCTCTATAACCACTATCACCCCTATCATTATCCATCATATCGGATGCTGGAACATTGGAATTCTTTCTATTCACTGTCCTTTCTCTTAGGTTCCGACAAAATTAATTTCCTCGGTAGGAATTAGAATTTCGTATATATTTTCCATGACCTCAATGAGGGATATTGCATTTCTTAAAATTTTCATCACAAATCAAAATTTTAGTGTCTGTGAAAGAGCCAGATGTATTAGATATGGTCAACCAATTTTCATTTTCATGCTTATACTGAATTATGTTTGGAAATTTTCTTTTGTTTATTTTCGTAGGTTATTTTGGTGGGACATGATTTTGGTGGTGCATGCATATCTTATGCTATGGAGGTCTTCCCATCCAAGGTAGCCAAAGCTGTTTTCGTTACTGCAGCTATGCTGACAGATGGGCAGAGTACTCTTGACATGTTCTCTCAGCAGGTATGCTCCTTATTAATGGCCTTTACCCAGAGTGAATCGGTCCTGATAAAAACAAGAGAGTAAAACATATTTTATACCTAGTAATCATGATTAGCAATAGTATATATTACTCACACCTGGTATTTACTCTAGCCTCTCACTTGACATAGTGCATGGTGGGGTTATCTTAGTCGGTGATCCACACATTATCCTGATCTAGATAGCAAATTACATCCCTGTTAAAAAGATACATATGAGAAACTTTAAGTTCATGCATCAACATGCTAACTGACAGCTACTCGAGACTAAAGCAATGAAAACCTTTTATTGCATTGGTTAGAATTTTTCGGAAGCATTCACTTCTTTGAGATTTTCTTTGGTCTGTGGTTATTAGGCACAGCTATTCGGGTGGCTGGCAATGCCCAAATCACCATTTTGGTTTGGAACACCTATTCGGACGACTGACAATGCCCAAAGCACCATCTTGATTAACAGCTGGGAAATAATAAGATTTAAGAGTATCATATACTATGTATGCCATGAACATTTGCATACACATGCTTATGGTGAATTACCAAGTTAAAAATAATTCACCCTTGTGTAATGGAAAATTTATACCAACTAAAGTCGGGATTGACACCTCGATGAGTTGGATCTCTCGTGTTGTGATATTTCACACATTGCTAAAATTTTCTAGAAAATAAGCTTGAGGAGGGCCCACATGAACAAAAAGGAAATTTGCTTTAGCCCCCCATGAAAAAGGAATCAAGCCTCCGCCCCTTGACTTTTTCCTCATGCTTTAACCCCCTACCACTTATGTGCCCTAAAATACCATTTAGCCTCATCCTCTACTTCTCTCGTCTCTCTCCACTCATCATCTCTCCTCTGCGCCGCATTCTCCTCTACCATCGTCTCTCCTTCACACCGCCGCTCCTCCTCCTCCACCCCTTACAGCTTCTTTTTCTTCTTCTCAATCGTCTATTCTCCTCCAGCGCGGCCTCTCCTCTACCCCGCCTCTCTTTCTTCTTCTCTGTTGTCTATCCTTCTCTGCCGTTGTCTTCGTCCCCCACCGCCTATCTCCAGTTAAAATATCCTCTCTCTCCTCATCGTTCCTCACCGCCTTGCCCACAAACAAAGGGAGAGCTCCATTTTATACTGTAGTAAGTAGGAAACATAAAAGGTAACATCTTAGTGAATGGAAGTAAAAGGAATCAAGCCTCCGCCCCTTGACTTTTTCCTCATGCTTTAACCCCCTACCACTTATGTGCCCTAAAATACCATTTAGCCTCATCCTCTACTTCTCTCGTCTCTCTCCACTCATCATCTCTCCTCTGCGCCGCATTCTCCTCTACCATCGTCTCTCCTTCACACCGCCGCTCCTCCTCCTCCACCCCTTACAGCTTCTTTTTCTTCTTCTCAATCGTCTATTCTCCTCCAGCGCGGCCTCTCCTCTACCCCGCCTCTCTTTCTTCTTCTCTGTTGTCTATCCTTCTCTGCCGTTGTCTTCGTCCCCCACCGCCTATCTCCAGTTAAAATATCCTCTCTCTCCTCATCGTTCCTCACCGCCTTGCCCACAAACAAAGGGAGAGCTCCATTTTATACTGTAGTAAGTAGGAAACATAAAAGGTAACATCTTAGTGAATGGAAGTAAAAGGAATCAAGCCTCCGCCCCTTGACTTTTTCCTCATGCTTTAACCCCCTACCACTTATGTGCCCTAAAATACCATTTAGCCTCATCCTCTACTTCTCTCGTCTCTCTCCACTCATCATCTCTCCTCTGCGCCGCATTCTCCTCTACCATCGTCTCTCCTTCACACCGCCGCTCCTCCTCCTCCACCCCTTACAGCTTCTTTTTCTTCTTCTCAATCGTCTATTCTCCTCCAGCGCGGCCTCTCCTCTACCCCGCCTCTCTTTCTTCTTCTCTGTTGTCTATCCTTCTCTGCCGTTGTCTTCGTCCCCCACCGCCTATCTCCAGTTAAAATATCCTCTCTCTCCTCATCGTTCCTCACCGCCTTGCCCACAAACAAAGGGAGAGCTCCATTTTATACTGTAGTAAGTAGGAAACATAAAAGGTAACATCTTAGTGAATGGAAGTAATATGATTATGAACCGAGGCAACTATTTATGAATAAAGGTAACATGTTATGTTCTAGTAATATTTTTATGAACAAAAGTGACGTTTCATAATGTACACTGGGCAAACATAAAAGTTAACAGTTTATTGAACAAAGATAACACTTTTTATGAACAAAGGTAATATATGATTTGCAAAATGTAATAGTTTATAGTTTTATGAACAGCATAATAATTTTATGAACGAAGGTACTTAAATTTAAAACTTATCTTCCTAACTTTGGCAATCCTTTGATGAAGGAATCAGTTAGATTTGGATTTGAATGCTGCATCTTCTCTTTGACTTGAATGTACAGTTTAATTTTGTGTTTCCAAATCCTACGACCAAATTTGTTGACATTCAAAAACCATACACAATCTGATAGGATATCTTTTAAAGTGGTATTTAATCCAGAATCTGGATTGGTTATTATGACTCACTCAATCCTGTAGCCTATAATGCTAATTGCTAATTTTGTCATGAAGGAAATTCTAAAACCACATAACATAGTTGATTGGGCACGTGTGAAGTTATTCAGCACAGAAATATAGAGCTCTTATTAACTGAACAAGAAACCATTCAACAAGAAAATATTACACCTGATGCGTGATCCAGAGTTAACCTTGAAGAATTCAGAATTTTTAAGGAGCGAGAATATCCGTTCTTTAAGGGGTCCTCACACTGAGGAAACTCGGATGCTTTGATCATCTTTAGGGATAAGTTAGCCATGCGGATATCTTATTGTTTTCCCCCCTATTGAACTGAAATATTATTGATCCTAAGCTTGTTTGCTGTCATAATTTAGGACGGGACAAGTGATTTAATGAGGCAGGCTCAGCTTTTCTTATATGCCAATGGAAATGATCACCCCCCTACAGCTATCGACCTTGACAAGTCATTGTTGAAAGACCTGCTGTTTAATCAAAGCCCTGTCAAGGTATGTTTTTCATTCATATGTGCACTTTCAAACTGCTTCCTTCTAGTTTACTATGTAGCAACTTGTGTCTTGATGTGTTTGCATATATATTCTTGTAATTGCAGGAAATTATACCATTTGACCATGTAGATCCATATAAACAACCAACCTGAATTGTTTGAACATCAATATTTTAACTTGAGTTTTATTTGACATCTCTGTTTAAAATTATTTACTGCACGATCAATTTCAAAAAGGATGGCTATACAAATAATTATGTAATTATCTTAGTAATGCACTATTCAAGTTTTGCTTACTAACTGTTTTTTAAAATACATGTTATGAAGGATATCGCATTGGCCTCAGTTTCTATGAGGCCTATCCCCTTTGCCCCAGTGCTCGAGAAGCTCTCACTTACAGAGGAAAAGTATGGTTCGGTTAGGAGATTCTATATTGAGACTAGTGAAGATAACGGACTACCCCTTCCTTTACAGCAGAGCATGTGCGAGTCGAATCCCCCAGAAAAGGTTTTCCGGCTCAAAGGCTCTGATCATTCCCCCTTCTTCTCAAAACCCCAAGCTTTACACAAGCTCTTGGTAGAGATTGCCGGGATCCCTACAAACCAAGTTCAGCAAGCTACGGCTGAATGATACAGATACACATAACATTATAACCGAAATTAGCCCCTTCAACATGGTCAGTCTCAGGGAGCGTGTATCCTCTCGCATTTTCCGCTGCTGCTTGGTGTTCTAACCCATACGTATTCACGATTCATGCTTCACTCCAAAGATTTTGTGATAGATTATGTCCTGGATTTGTTATCATACGGTGCCTACTGTTCTCTTTTATGTTTACTGGTAAATCTTGTTATACCCAACAATGGAAACCACACTGTATATGATATTTTTCACCACGGTACTACCCAAGGATGACAGAACCGAAACGCTGTGTGCAAATGCATCTGTAAGTCGTATATACTTGCTATTAGCTGATAAAGTGCCTTTTGTTTGTTTGTCAGTAATAATCACGGGCTTCGTGGTTAAATGTCGCCTCCAAAGGAAAACACTCCACCTCTCTTCCACGGGTGAAAGGATAAAGCGTTTTCTCTTCTAGAAAGGCTGATCAGCTTAACATTTACAAGAGAACAATAGCTTAGCATGCGTATGGCTTGCACATAGATTGCATTCAAGAACCTTAACATGAGTATGGCTTGTAGTATCAAATGCTACGGTTAACGCGAGATAAGTTGGTAAATAATGTGTTGTTGCGTGGCAGCCGATGAATGTAAAGAAAACGTACCTCATCTGCATTCAGACCGAGAGAACCTACTCAACCCAGGTTGCAAACCAGCACGTCACAAACAGACTCTTTAGAACGACGCTCACTCAAATGGGTAAATAATATGTACATAACAGTCAACCCTCTGAAGGGGTCATGAATGTCACTTTACTGCTAAAATCTCCCTGAAATCCCAGTTGGAAAGTTTGCAGAACATTGACAAGGGAGGTCGTGTACTTTACAGTGTAGTGTTTGGATGGGGTTTAGAGGAAGGCGAAATTTGATAAAACCTTTGTTTCGGAATTCTTTTGAGGGGTTAAAGGATGGAAGGGAAAGTGAAATTTAATAATATTTTCCTCCCCCCCAAATTTGGCGGTAGAGGGAGTAAAGAAAATCGGTGTAAATTTTTACAAGATGGGAATATAATTTTACCCTTATAATTTATTAGCTGACAATGTATCTTAAAAATATATAAGGGTATTTGTATAACTTTACATATATATATTCACTTCGCTTCCCCTCCCTTCCTTAGAACTCCCAAACAATGTGAGCTAAGTTTACTTTCATTCATCCTTACTAAACTCTCAAATAATATTTTATATTTTCTCTCTGCTTCTCTATATTTTCTTTCAATTATTTAACTTTCCTTTCCTTCCCCTCCCCTCGTAAGCTCTTTTCCTCTCTGCCCATCAAAGAATTAACAACAATATTTTGTACCATCTACATTTTCTGAACAGGAATTGAACGAGGAAGGCGATTGCATCTCAGATTCTCAGCACTCCCCTCCATTCTACGACTAAAACAAGGGAAAGCTGATGATGAAGAAATTACTCCAATCTCCGAATGAAACCCTGCATTTCAATGATTACAACAAGAAATAGCAAAAAATCGTATAAAAATCTTTTTTTAGAGGAAATCACGGGTTCAGTAGAGAGGGGGAGGAGGGGCAACAAGGTAATTACCTATTAATGATTAGTCTAAACTTAACCAGGGATTTGGGATTTTTATAACACTTCAAAACTGACAGAAGGGAAGTGATTTGGGGGGTTAATATCAAAATATAAAGATTACGAGGGAATTATATCAAAATACTATCTGCAAAAAAAGAGAAAAAAAAAAAAACTCAAACGTTGCCACCCAGCTACAAACATCAAGAGTGGACCCAACGTTTCTAGACTGGGTTTTCCGCAAGACACGGTGCGGAAAAGATGCGTGTATACTCCCACGTCCCTGTGTCACTATTTAAAGCGTTTCTTCGCCCGTCCCTCGTGATCTCCACACCCCTCCCCCTCTTTCCTCCTTGGGATCTGATTACCGCAGGTAGGTACGCAAAACCCTAACCCTAGATTCATCAATGTCTGCTATATTTCTCTTTTCTTCGTTGTAATGCAATTGCGACGCGACGCGACGCGATGTATTATTATCGAGTTTCAATATCACCAGATCTTGATAGGGGGAAAAAAACCCTAATTTTGCATCTTTTTGGACCAAAACCTGCTTAAAAACGCCATCTTTGTATGTAATGCCTCCTAATTTCTAGCTTCGGGAACTTTTGAGACACAGTAAAAAAGAGAAGGGATGCGCCGTGGAGTGAGCAGCGGAGGAGGGGAGA